GGAGCTAGAAACGGAGAGGAGTTAGAGCCATCTGTTCTTCACCTGGCAGAGCGATCCGAGTCAAACCCAACTCTGGAATACCACCAAGCAATAGAAAGGGACAGACTAAGGATCCAGGCAACAGTATGGATGCCTCTCAAAAACATTATGCTGCCCTAACCAGTTTGGCTCAGTGGATAGAGCGTCGGCCTGCGGACTGAAAGGTCCCAGGTTCGATTCCGGTCAAGGGCATGTACCTTGGTTGTGGGCACATCCCCAGTAGGAGGTGTGCAGGAGGCAGCTGATTGATGTTTCTCTCTCATCGATGTTTCTAACTCTCTATCTCTCTCCCTTCCTCTCTGTAAAAAATCAATAAAATATATTTAAAAAAAACACATTATGCTGAGTGAACGAATAGATGCAAATGAGCACATACTGCATAAGTCCATGCATATGAACATGTACAACAGGTGAACCTCGTCAAAACCAAAATCAGAACAATGGTTGCCTCTGGGAAGTTGGGACAGAAAGGGGGGGACAAGGGCAACAGGAAGGGGCAACAGGAATTGGGGGAAGATAGTGATGTATTTGATAAGGGCTTGTGTTATGCAGATGTATGCATGTGTTGAAACTGACTGAATCATACAGTTAACAACTGGGCATTTCATTATATGGATATTTTGCCTCAACAGAAAAGAAAAACAAACTTATAAGTAAACTAGAGGCCTGGTGCCTCTAGTTTGTGCATGGGTAGGGTCCCTTGGCCTGGCCGGCAATCCAATTGGGCTGGCCAGCTTGGGTGGGGAGGCGGGGAGAGGGAGGGGAAGGGACACGTGGGAGGTTGGCTGTGGGAGCACACTTGACCACCAGGGGGAAGCTCCTGCATTGAGTGTCTGCCCCCTGGTGGTCAGTGCACATCATAGCCACCGGTCAATCAGTCATTCGGTGGTTCAGTCACTTGAGTTTATATATAGACTAGAGGCCCGGTGCATGAAGTTCATGCACTTGGGGGTGGGGGGGGTCCCTCAGCCCGGCCTGAGCCCTCTCACAGTCCAGGAGCCCTCGGGGGATGTCTGACTGACAGCTTAGGCCTGCTCCCTGCGGGGGGCGGGCCTAAGCTGTCAGTCGGACATCCTTAGTGCTGCCATGGGGATGGGAGAGGCTCCCACCATGGCTGCTGTGCTCCCAGCCATGAACCTGGCTTCTGGCTGAAAGGCGTTCCCTGTGGGAGTGCATTGACCACCAGGGGGCAGCTCCTGCGTTGAGCAAATGCCCCTGGTGGTCAGTGCGCATCATAGCAACCGGTCATTCTGCCGTTTGGTCGATTTGCATATTAGCCTTTTATTATATAGGATATTAGTTGGGGAATCTAAGTCTGATCATGTCATCCTCTGCTCAGACCCCTTCAATAATTCTTCATCTCTTCCAGGGTAAAACCCAAAGCCCTGACAATGGCCTCCAACAGAATGACCATACACTCTGGTTGCCCCAGGTTTCACCTGTTATCTGGGCATAATTATAAATGCATCATCCTCTTGTATTCTCAAAGTTTGAATGACAGAATATGTGCCTGCCTTGCCTATGAGGCCCTCCCTGACCTGACCTCATTTCCCTCCACCATACCTCTCTCTCTCTCCTTCCTCTTTCCCTCCCTCAGCTCCAGCCACACTGATCTCATTGCCAGGCATGCTCCCCCTCAGGACCTTTGCATTGGCTGTTCCATCTGCCCAGGATTCTCTTCCCCCAGATATCTGCATGGCTCTCTCCCTTACCTCCTTCAAGCTTTTCTTTAAATGTCTCTCAGTACGGCCTTCCCTGAGCTCCCCATTTAAAATTGCAATCCATTCTTTCCCCATCTTCCTTACTCTGTTTTTTAAAAAGTATTTATAACTTCCTACATATGATATAATTTACTGAAAGTAAGCTCCATGAGGCAGGGATTTTTTCTATTTTATGTTGTATCCCCAGGGCCTAGAAAAGTACCCAGCAAGCAGTACCCACAATACATGTTGCTGTGAATAAAGGAATTCCCCTCCCTAGTGGAGCTCAGTCTGGTGCCAAAGCAAACCCAGACCATCAGGACAATAACCAGTGCTCCATGAAATGGCAGAAGAGGGGCAGGGGGCATGAAAGGAAAGACCCCGCCAGGAAGCAGAGGTTTGAAAAACAAGAAGGCATCTGCCAGCGGAAGAGGGGATGAGAGGGGCCCTCCGGACAGAGCAAATAGCATGGGCTAAGCCTCAGAGATGAAAAACAGCGAGTGCATTTGGGAGCGATTATAAGCAGCTCCGAGGGCGTGTCAGAGTGTGGGCTCCGTCCTCCAGGTAACTCGAACTGGAGGGTTCGAACCCAGGGCAGCAGCATGGACAGGTTCGGGTTTCTGAGACTGCCCACCTGCTCGGCACAGAACGGACTGGGGGTGGGCAAGAGTGAAGCAGGGACACCTACAGAGAGGCACCCAGGAAACAGCGGGGCCCTAGAGAAAGGGGCGTAGGGGAGGGTACTTAGAACAGAGACTTCATGGGACATGATAGCACATGGGACATTGACTGTGACTTCTGGATGCTCCCATCTCAGCCAACTCCTGGCATTGGGGGGCTGCTTCCCTGCACAGGGGATGGTGGAAACACGTTGGGAGAAGGCGGAGGCTGAGGGTCTGGGACATCCAGGGGAGAAGTCTAAAGGCATCTGCTCTTTGAGTCTGGAGGTGGGGGCAGAACTTGGAGGCAGAGATTCAAGGAGTAGCTGGGACCCAGCAGGGAGAAGAGCCCCATGGAGAGAAGAGCTAGGCCAGGGCAAGAGGGATTTAAGGGATCAGGAAGAAGAGAGAGTGACAGAGGGAGAGTAGCACTGGGGCCCCAGAGCCAGGGATAGAAGAGTATGGTCAGGGGGAGGGGCGGTGGGCATGGTAAGGTGATGTTAGGGGTGTGGCTTTGGAAAAGGTGGCTTTTATCCCAGGTCACTAGTAGGGGAGTAGGGGTTGCATAGGCCTGGGCTAAAGAACAGATGCCTGGGGCTTGGGAGCTGGGACCAGGAGGAGGACAGGAATCAGGGAGACTCAAGCTTTAGCCTTTCAAGGCTGTTCAGAAATGGACTCCTCCTCCCCAGTCTTACTGACAGGCAAGTCTCTGGCCTCTATCCCTAAACCCTAGTATCCTCATCTGTAAAATGGGGTAACAGGAAAAACAGCTGCCATTTATTGAGCACTTACTATGTGCCAAACCAAGGACTCTCTCTCTATGTATTGCCTCATTTAATCCTCACAGTAGTCTCACCAGGTGAATGTTACTATTATTCCCATTTTACAGATAAGAAAACTGAGGCACAGAGATAAGTCACTTGTTCAAGGTAACACAGTGATTGAATGGAGACATCAAGATTCAAACCTAGAGCTTGAATTCTGGGCCATAATACTGTACTACTGACTCATACAAGGCACTGTACAGTTTACAGAGCACTCTTATCACCTCATGGGGTGGTTTGAGGGGGAATGAGATGACTCACACACTCAGAAAATGGCTGAGATTATTGGTCGAGGCTGAGTGATGTCTTTCTATAGATGTGCGTGCTCTCAATTCTCCAGAACCCGGGGCTTATGTTACTGTATC